AAGTTACAGTAACCTTGACTTGATTTTATCTGGCTTGGGTCAGACCCTAACATGTATTTTAACAAAGCCTGAATCATATTTATTGTAGACACAAATGTGTTCATTCTATTTTTAAAATATTTCTCCACTATAAACTATCTTCTACTATTTCATTGTGCTTTTAAAAAAAACTGATTCTGTAATTCTGTCATTGGCTACAGTAAATATAAATCAAAGAACACATTCATTAAATTTTAGTTCTTAAAGGACTAAAAAAATGTGTTTACATTTTTAACCACCTGAAACCACAAACAGAAACCGTTTGTTGAATGAAAAAGTCAGATATCAATAATAAAAAAAAGCTTTTGTTTAGACATTTTTCAAAGATTTTTAAACCACTCTGCTCTTAAATTTTTACATGGTTTATGCAGAACTATGAAATGTGTCTGAACACATCATTTAATGTGATGCTCTTTGCAGGTATAATTTTAAAATCCTAAACTCAGAGTTTGTATTTTTGCAAATCTAGTCATAAATATAACATAGAGGGCTAGATCAAACAAAAAACTACTCAGAAAAAAATAGGATTAGAATAAAATGCATTAGTTACTTCTGATTAATTGGCTTTTACCACTTTAAAAGTTTTAGTGCTCTTGTGAGAATACTGAACCACTCACTTAACTGTGCATTACTTTAAAAATAATCTGTATTAGAAACCTTTTCTTCTCCTCTACCAGGAGTTGCATTGTCTGTGTCACCACTGAAAATGTATGCGATGACTTACAGTTTTTTTTGCATTATGACTACATTTTCAGCTCCACTAAGTCGACCAACTATTTGGTTTAGGGTTTGCTCAGCATGTGCCTCCTTGTTATACATGATACATTGGCTCCATGGCTTGTGTGTAGCAGTGTAATGGCACAAATAAGAAAGAGAAAAGAGAAAAGTGACTGAGCTGATTGACTGTCTACTAATCTCTGTTCCTTTTAATAAATCAATAGTGTTTTGTTTTAACCTTGTGTGCACTTTAAATGGGACTGCTGTGTTTTCTGTGGTGAAAAGTCACTAAGTAATGCAGCATGAACAAAAAAACAAAAAACAAAAAACAAAACAATAAATATGAATTCATACATATTATAATAAAACATGCAATGATGTATATTTTGATTTAATAGCTTCTATGATTATCATAACTTGTAAACCTTAGATACATACCAGCCTGGTTGGTAGTGATGTCTATGGTGACATGCTGTGCTGGGTATGGACTCTTATTGCTGACACCATTCACAGCTTGTATCTCAAAGCTGTACAGTGTGTGAGCCAGTAGGTTACTGATGAAGACCCTGGTCTCTGTCAGACCCAGCTGTCGAGGAACAAAATCCACGTTGTCATCGCAGTGGGAACAAGAGCGTCTGTCGGCTCGGCACTTCTTGCACACAATATTGTAGACGACATCATTCCGACCGCCTGTCTCCCTGGGAGAGTGCCACTCAAGGATTACTGAGGTCTCGTTCACGATGGAGATCACATTTCTCGGGCTGGATGGAACACCTGGAGAAACATAGCAACATCACGTGAGTCAATTCTGGTTAGATCACGCTCTATAGCAATTTTTATACCACAAAACATTTCATCCCCTGCAAAGCTGTCAGCGAGCTCAAAGACGAAACAAAACATTGTGTTGCTAGTAAAGAAAACAGTAAATTCTCTTTGGTGAAATTGCACATTTTACAACACTGTAATAAATGTAAGTGCTATTGTTCAAGGCTCTTGTGCAAATTCCCTCCATCTGAATCACAAATGAAATGCTAATTTATTCTTTTCACATTCAGAGAGATCATACAGTGAAACGGTAATCTATCAAATATTGGTTATTTACGAAAAAGCAGTGTAGCAAAGAGTACTCTGATCCAAGTGGCTCTAGAAATTCATGGTTCCATTCCATCCCTTACAGTTCACAGCTGGAGCAAAACCTCAAAAATTATATTTACAAAGAAATCAAGAAATAACGCAACTATTGTTCGGACTGAGTGGTGGCTTGTTATCAGGGTGTAAAAAGGAGGGTGGGAGGAGGGGGAGAGGGCTTGGTCAGCCTCAGAATTTTAGCATGACTCTTTAAGATTTAAAATCTGCTGAACTGGCAGGGAAGAATTATGCTTAGTTGATACGCTGAGTCCCTCCGGCTGCACAGAGGCAGCTCTTCTCTCTCAAATACCAGTGAAAGCACAATCTTTCCAAAGTCCTTGGTCAGTGCTGCTCAGCCTGAATGAGGCAGCCCTGCAGAGGTAATCTGATACCAATTTACCCTCCACAAAGCCCAGTCTTTATTATTAAAAGAAAAAGTTTCAGCAGGCCGACCTATCTCTTGGTTCATGACAACTTTAAATTGATCCAATCAAATGTAGAAACATTTTGTGAACTTTCTTACTGCAGCTCGCTAACAGACTATATCATACTTCTCTCAGTTTTGTATACTTTAAATGGATCCACGATTAGTTGTAACGTTAGACTTTATTTGATAAACATTGATTTTAACTGTAAAATACAAACTGTAAAACTACTGTAGGCTGTTTAGTTTTGTAAATTTTAAAAGTATGTATTTTAACATGGACAGAGCCATTTTATTTACACGCAAAGCATTCTGGGTAAATGATGACGTGGATAGGTCCTTAGTGCGAGGCTGCTAGCGAGCTATATCCATCCTACAGGTTAATCTTGGACAATATCTGATGATCGACTCTTCTTAATGAAACCAGAGAGCGTTGACAGAGAGGAGAAGGTAGAAATGACTCAGCCTGTAACTGAAAATATGGATGGAGGACAACAGAGCTGCTTCATGGAAGAAGAGCCTCAGCTTAGCCTGTTAGCCTTTGTGCTAGTGCTGACGCTATATTGCCTTATATATATTAGCTCGGCGCTAGCGCAACATACTAACAAGCTAAACAGTTGCAGGCTGAGTCATGTTTACGTTTCCCTCTCTGTCATGTGTATGGAGGACCTCAGTGACGACAGGAGAATGTGTAGTGCTGAGCTAATACATATATATAGTGATAGCGTTGGGGCTAAAGCTAAAGCTAACAGGCTAAGCTGACATTCTTCTTCTATGAAGCAGCTCTGTTGTCCTCCATCCATATTTTCAGTTACAGGCTGAGTCATTTCTACCTTCTCCTCTCTGTCAACGCTCTCTGGTTTCATTTAAAAGAGTCGATCATCAGATATTGTCCAAGATTAACCTTCAGGGTGGATATAGCTCGCTAGCAGCCTCGCACTGAGGACCTATCCATGTCATCATTTACCCAGAATGCTTTGCATGTAAATAAAAAGGCCCCATCCATGTAATATATTTTTAAACTTTTAGTTGAAAAAATATAAAAAAAACTGAACATCCTACAGTATTTTTACAGTCTTTATTTTACAGTTAAAATAWATKTTTATMAAWTAAAGTCTAATGTTACAACTAATAATGGATCCCTTTAACATTTCTGAAGAAAAAAAAGTATACAAATTTGTAAACACATAACAATACATCAATTTACTATAGCATCAGATTTTTGGGAGAAGAGGTCAGAGTTTTTCTTTCTACACAGAGATGATTAATCATTGTTGTTGCAAAGCCAAGTGGGATAGACCTGGAAAACAGGGACAAAGCGACAAAACACACAAGGGTGACAGAACAATGGCTGCAACCCCATCTCAGTGCCTCAACAGCAGAGAGGTCAGTGACAGGAAGGGCAGGACCTCCACATTGGGATTATTATGGTCTGGCTGAGGGGATAGATAGTGCTCCAGATGCAGGTCAAATGGCACCTAATTTGGTCCTTTGATGCTACAAGATACATTGTAGGTGCAGAAGGAATACAACAAAAAAAAAGCTTGTCTGAAGGACTAGAAGCACTGTTGTTCTCTGAGGAACTGTTCGATCGGCACTTCATATGTTACCCACCAACTGCGTGTACTCAGGATCATCCATCACGTACTTCCTCACACCCCCAAACTTGCATTGCTAGTGAAAAAAACAATACACGAGTGCTACTGTAAAAACTACACCCTAACAATTTTCATGTACCTGAGCCAATACTTTTTTGTGTTAATGTATCAATTCAGCGCTTCACTGTAAAAAAAAGTTTCTGTGATGGCACAATTGCAGGTACATAGCAATAAATCAGATGTGATTGCCACTTTGAGATTCATTTGCAGACTATTATTGCAGCCTTTGGCCCTTTTAATTTGTAATGAGATTTATTGCTCAAGAACTGAACTTAAAAGCCTCCAAGATCAAGCTTATTCAGCTGTGGCCATCATACTTTGTTGCACTTTACACAACTTTTACTTTCACTAGGCTAAGGGAGTGTTAAATAATTTCTGACATGTATCGATGTGTATTAAGGGCACAATCAGACCAAGGATAATTGTGTTTAACAGATGTGACAATCACAGTGGCACATCATGATGCTGCCTAACTGAATTGACATGAGCGGCAAGCTAAACACAATTTCYCTGAGAGGGAAAGAAAAAGAATTGCATAACAAATGACAAATACAATATTTACATGCAACAAGCATCAGAGTTTATGCAGATGCGCAATCATCCTGCAGATACAAACTAACAAAGCTCTATGATTATTTTGTCAATAGTAATATATTATCACGTTACGAGTTCTAATCTATAAATTATTTTTTTCATTTGCATTTAGCAAAAAATTGTTATGTGATATTATAACAAAGTAATATATTATGAGAATAAAAATGTAATAGCACAGATTTATATGATTATTGTCTGTTTAATTTGTTAAAAAATATATAAACTCAAATAAGTAAGTGTCCCTTAGCAGAAGACCAAATCTTCATAAAAACAGAATCACAAATATTTAGGTTTGGTC